GTTCCTCCAGAGAGTGCTAAATTTGAGAGACAAAACACAGACACGGAGACACATCGTTTTGTCTTTTTCTTAAATGTAGCACTCCTATCTCTGATGTAGGCCAATCAGTTTAAAAGACAATGCCATTTATAATGATCAGAGCATGTTTTTTTTGCATGTTCCCCGTAGGTAATGTGTGTGGTTAATGCAGTGCGTGATTCCTTGCAAAAGGCATCTATTTGATGTTTGAACATTTTAACTCCTGATTTATTTCCAAAAAAGGATAAAATATATTCTCTAATTTCATACTTTGATGTACAGATGTGAGTGTGTGTGAGTGCGTGTGCAGGATTGGAAGGATGCCCTGGTGGTCCCCCTTTTTAAGAAGGGGGTCCGCACAGACTGTAACAACTACAGGGGCATCTCACTCCTCAGTGTGCCGGGAAAGGTCCTGGCAAGGATTATTCAACATTGCCTTGCCAGGCACGCTGAGGAGAGGCTTGCGGAGCCCCAATGCGGTTTCAGGAAAGGGCGGTGCTGCACAGATGCCATATTTTCTGTCCGTCTGCTACAGCAGAGGTGTAGGGAATTCCAGCAAGACCTACATCTCTGCTTTATTGACCTGGTCAAGGCCTATGATACCATCAGTAGGCCTGGGCTCTGGGTTGTTCTTCGTGCTTTTGGAGTACCTGACCCTCTGCTCACGATCATTAAGGACCTTCATGATGGTGAGCGGGCCCGGGTAAAACTACGTGGCCGGGAGTCCGAGCCTTTCCCTGTACACCTTGGGGTGCGACAGGGATGTCCTCTGGCTCCCACATTATTTAACATCTATTTCGACCACGGAGTTCGTGAAGCCTTCAATAGCTGTACCGGGGGAATCTCCATATGGTACAGATATAATGGGAGGCTGATCGATGCCCGGGTGCGGTCAAGGGATGGCTCCCTATTGCTCAACCACGTTACGTATGCTGATGATTTGGTAATAGCTGCTCATTCAGAGGAGGAGTTGGAGACGATGCTGCTGAGACTGGAGCGTGCAACTAAGAGATGGGGCCTTACGATCAGCCCCACCAAAACTAAGCACCTGTCTGGGTATTTTGTACCATCGGACACTCCACCCCCACAACTCCCAATCGGTGATGGGGCAGTTGTGGAGAGAATGGAGAGTTTCCCATACCTGGGAAGTGTGCTTATGACCGGCTCCAGTTTAACAGCAGAGGTCTCACTCCGAATCAGTCGAGCGGCAATATCTTTTCATCGGTTGCATAACGCTGTGTGGAAGCTACCTGGTCTATCGCTCCGCACTAAGTTTCAGGTCTTCTCGGCCACGGTCATTCCCTCCCTTCTCTACGCTTGCGAAACATGCCCCCCCCTAATGGAACATCTTCACCGGTTAGAAACATTTAGGCTGCCCTGCCTACGATCCATCCTGGGTTTAACCAGACTGGATTGTGTGAGGAGCTCACAAATCCTTGAAAGATCTGGGCAAGGTCCCATCGGTGAGCTCCTCCGGCGGGCAAGGCTGCGATGGCTGGGTCATGTAGCCCGCATGCCCAGCCACCGCATGCCGAAACAGCTTTTGTTCGGCCGGATCGAGGGGGCTAAACGGGCGCGGCACGGGCTAGAGAAGAGATGGAGTGACGTGGTACAGGAGGACGTGGAGCTGAGTGGACTTGCCGATGACTGGTACCAGCGGTGTCAAGATCGGCCTCTGTGGAGGAGGCTCGTGAAGGACGCTACTGGGCAGTTGGAGGTAGTCGCCCTCCAACAACAACGGAGGGCGAAGGAGCGACGCTCACAACAACGAGCGGAGCGCCGGGTGGCTAAGGCACAGCAGGTTGGCACATTAGGGGGCACAGGTGGTGCACCAGCCAGTCATCTCAGTCATCTCAGTCAGTCGACCCGTGGCACCTGGGTCTGCCCCGTGACCTCCTACCTGCGCGCGTTCGACACTTCACGTGGCCTCAAGGTGCACATAGCCTGACACAAGCGTCGTGGTGAAGTCACCGCCACTTAGTGGCGAATGGCGGTTGTTGTTGTTGTGTGTGAGTGCGTGTGTGTGTGAGTGCGTGTGCGTGTGTGCGTGTGTGTGTGAGTGCGTTCTAGATAAGACTCGAAATCGCATCTTTCAGGGAACGCATCCCCGTGGCCCGCACTGGACCATCCGTGACAAAGAGATCTTCATGGCTCATCGTATTCCTCCTGCAGTGATGCATAAATATTCAGATTCTGATTAATTCGTTGAATACAATGGAGAAGGAATCCTCACGCCCCACCCACACCCAACCCCCAAATTGCAGCTGGAGGTGTCAGAATCGGAATCAGTATTTATGCCTCCAATATGAGGAATCCGATGAGCTATAAAGCTCTTTATCGCAGATGTCCAGTAGGAGGGAGGGAGGGTGTCACAGGCGGGGAGACGACCAGGAATAGCCGATGCCTCGCGCCCAGATTTTTAATTATTTTGTTTTTTTGTGAATGGGCGAGAGAGCAGCCGCCGCGATCAGAATATTTTAATCGATTTAAAAGAAAAATGATTTAGACTGCAGCAGTAGGAGGAATCCGATTAGCGATGAGACTATATTTTTTATCACAGATGTTCAGTAAGGGGGGGGGGGGCAACGGGGTTATTGTTACACCACCACCAACAACAACGGTAACAGCAGCACACAAACAACGAAACACGAAGCATTGGCGAGGTAAGCAAGCCAGCCAAAGTGGACGTTGTATTTGAGCAGGTAAGGCCCAGTGAGATGACAGCGGGACCCAGCCAACAACAAAACAACTACAAAGATCCCCCGTGTAGCCTGCTGATAGTGAGTAGGAGCGCCTCTGAAGGACTGCACCGCACACGATGGCGGTGGGTGGCCAGCGACACAGTGGCGATGTTTACTGCACACCGCACAACCACCACCATCATCATCATCACCCACTCCAGAACCAGCCCTTTCCCTCTACAGCCCCTCACCACCCTCCACTCCACCCTCACCACCATCGACTCCACCCTCACCACCATCCACTACACCACTCACCACTCCACCCTCACCACCCCCCACTCCACCCACACCACCCCCCACTCCACCCTCACCACCCCCCACTCCACCCTCACCACCCTCCACTCACCACTCCACCCTCACCACTCACCTCCACCCTCACCACTCACCACCACCCTCACCACTCCACCCTCACCACTCACCACCCTTCCCTCCACCCTCACCACCCTTCCCTCCACCCTCACCACCACCCACTCCACCCTCACCACTCACCACTCCACCCTCACCACTCACCTCTCACCACCCTTCCCTCCACCCTCACCACCCCCCACTCCACCCTCACCACCCTCCACTCACCACTCCACCCTCACCACTCACCTCCACCCTCACCACTCACCACCACCCTCACCACTCCACCCTCACCACTCACCACCCTTCCCTCCACCCTCACCACCCTTCCCTCCACCCTCACCACCACCCACTCCACCCTCACCACTCACCACTCCACCCTCACCACTCACCTCTCACCACCCTTCCCTCCACCCTCACCACCCCCCACTCCACCCTCACCACTCACCACCACCCTCACCACTCTACCCTCACCACTCACCACCACCCTCCCTCCACCCTCACCACTCACCACCCTTCCCTCCACCCTCACCACTCACCACCATCCTCACCACTCCACCCTCACCACTCACCACCCTTCCCTCCACCCTCACCACCCCCCACTCCACCCTCACCACTCACCACTCCACCCTCACCACTCACCTCTCACCACCCTTCCCTCCACCCTCACCACCCCCCACTCCACCACTCACCACCACCCTCACCACTCCACCCTCACCACTCACCACTCCACCCTGACCACTCACCACCACCCTCACCACTCCACCCTCACCACTCACCACCCTTCCCTCCACCCTCACCACCCCCCACTCCACCCTCACCACTCACCACCACCCACTCCACCCTCACCACTCACCACTCCACCCTCACCACTCACCTCTCACCACCCTTCCCTCCACCCTCACCACCCCCCACTCCACCACTCACCACCACCCTCACCACTCCACCCTCACCACTCACCACCACCCCCCACTCCACCCTCACCACCCCCCCTACCCCTCCATGACCCCTACGACCGCGGTGCCAGCGTGGGGCCTGAGCCATATTGGGGAGCCGTGGAAGGTTCCATGGCAGAGGATTCTCTCCCCACCCTCCACCCCCACGATGCCCAACGCGGGCGCCTCGCAACCTCGCCCAGATTTTCCGCTCAGCTCCGGAGCGAAACGTCCCGTTCTCTTTTTAGTTTATCACCGGGACGTCTCCACGTCTCTCTCTCTCTGGATCCCTCTCGACCTCTCCACAGCTCTGGATCTCTCTGGATGTCGCCACATCTCTGACTTTCTCTCTCTTCTCTCTCTCTCTCCATAGCTTCATCCAGCTGTCTCCATCTGCGGCGCTTCGTCTCATCTCGAAGCACACGTGAAGAGTGTTTGGGCTGCTCGCTGTACATCTCCACGTGGTTATTATGCCACTTCGTTGGGCTATCATCTGTGATCGACAGGTCCCTTCTGACAAAGAGCAACGTAGCGGTGGCTCAGTGGGGCCCTTACCTGGTAGAATAAAACTCGTTTAGTGGTTTAGTTTGAGCTGTCTCCAACCTCCTCACCTCCTGCCGTCTCGTCTGTCTCTCCGCCCCGCTGGAGGAGTCCGGAGCTGCTGATGGAGCCTCTCTCAGCCATCCAGGGGATCTCTCAAGCCCCGACAAAGTCCTGCTTCTCGTCCCCCTCGTCCATGGCCCAGCCCGGCCCTCGGCGCCCCAACCCGGCCCGGCAGAGCGCCGAGGCAGCGGGGAACGGCGGTGGTGACGGCGGTGACGGTGGTGGTGGTGGTGGCGTTGGTGGTGGTGGCAGTGGCAGTGACGGTGGTGGCGGTGGTGGTGCTGGTGGCGGCGGCGGCGGTGGTGGCGGTGGCGGTGGTGGTGGTACCGGTGGCCGCCTGTTCCAGCGCTCCGACTCTATGGCAGCGCGCTCCGTGCGACTCCTCGAAGTCCTCGACAAACTCGAGCACCGGTACGGGTGTGGGGGTGTGGGGGTATGGTGTGTGGTGTGTGTGGGTGTGGGGGGGGGCACAAACGCCAAGCGACCAGCAGCAAACAGCACTGCTCAAGACGCAGGAGGGGAGAGTTGGCGAGGGTTAGAGCTGGGGGCGCTAAGGTGGCCGAGATGTTGACTCCCTCGCCTGGTATACAGGAGGCCGTGGGTTCGATCCCGACCCCTGTATATTTGGAGTCTGCGTGTCTCTCTCTCTCTCTGCCCGTGGTCGCGTGGATTTGTCTCCACGTCCTCCGGTTTTTCACCTCCACGTTTAGAATGAACATCACGCGTTTCGAGTGTGCGGTTGCCGCTATGAATGTCCACGCGATAAACCGCTTTAGTTGAGCTACCATTTGTGATGGCTTCCGAAAGAGAGCTACGTAGCTCAGCGGGGCCTTACCTGGAGAGGTAAAACAACGTGGGGGTCTTTTTCTTAAATAGTTTAAAACATTTTGGGTAACCAGGTGAGACCGTACGGGACCAGGATGAGAGCGATCCTGGTCGCCATGGTGACCCGGGTCGCCATTGTGACCCGTGTCGCCATGGTGACCCGTGTCGCCATGGTGACCGGATAGCCATGGTGACCCGGGTCGCCATTGTGACCCGGGTCGCCATGGTGACCCGTGTCGCCATGGTGACCCGTGTCGCCATGGTGACCCAGGTCGCCATTGTGACCCGGGTCGCCATGACAACGAAAGCAAGTCAAGTACAGTTACAGCAATGACGCAAACAGAACGCAGGACAAAAACAAAACGCTTTCACCACTCGTTATCGGCATAATTTAGTGCGGTGTCCTTCCCCCCCCCACACCTCTGGTTAGCGCGGTTGGCCACGTACGGTACGAAAGAAGTTCAACATACACACCTCGTTTAATCTCCCTGGCCCGTCTCTCTGCTGTGAAGAAGGGCCCTTGCCCGAAACGTCGCCTATGATGTGTCTTGCCCTCTTCAGGGCCACGGTGCTAATGACGCGGAGCGTGGTGGTGGTGGTGGTTGCTTGTGCACCACCACCAGCGCAGTATCTCACAACAAAGACAAAGATCCCCCGTGTAGCCTGAACAGACTGATGGGGCAAGTGCTGTTAGCGAGCACCTACGAAGGCCGGCACGGCACACGAGGGGGTGGGTGGCCAGCACCACGCCCGACCGCCTTTGTCTCCCCAGTGGCGAAGTTTAAACACCAGGTACTCATTTGAGTCCGAGTCGACCTAGGGGAGGCCCAGGACCGGTTCAGGCAATGGTCACCGCTGTCTGCCGTGAGCGGGGATCGAACTCGGGCCGCCGGGTTCTCAGCAGTATCTCAGGCACACGCAGAGGGGTGGGTTCTTAGACCGAGCGAGGTTATTGGGGGGGAGGAACGTCGGTGATGGGAGGAGGACATTCCAGAGCGGAGCGGAGCGAGGGAAGACGCAGAGAGAGAGAGAAGTGAGGTGACCGGCAGTGTGGTGAGTGAGTGGGTGGGTTAGTGAGTGGGTGGGTGAGTGAGTGGGTGGGTGAGTGAGTGGGTGAGTGAGTGGATGAGTGAGTGAGTGGGTGAGTGAGTGGGTGAGTGAGTGGGTGAGTGAGTGAGTGGGTGAGTGGGTGAGTGAGTGGGTGAGTGGGTGAGTGAGTGGGTGAGTGAGTGGGTGGGTGGGTGGGTGAGTGAGTGGGTGAGTAAGTGAGTGGGTGAGTGGGTGAGTGAGTGGGTGAGTGAGTGAGTGGGTTAGTGGGTGAGTGAGTGAGTGGGTGAGTGTGTGGGTGGGTGAGTGGGTGAGTGAGTGAGTGGGTGAGTGAGTGGGTGAGTAAGTGAGTGGGTAAGTGGGTGAGTGAGTGAGTGGGTGAGTGAGTGGGTTAGTGGGTGAGTGAGTGAGTGGGTGAGTGTGTGAGTGAGTGAGTGGGTGAGTGAGTGGGTGAGTGGGTGAGTGAGTGAGTGGGTGAGTGAGTGAGTGAGTGGGTGAGTGAGTGGGTGAGTGAGTGAGTGAGTGGGTGAGTGAGTGAGTGGGTGAGTTAGTGAGTGGGTGAGTGGGTGAGTGAGTGGGTGAGTGAGTGGGTGAGTGAGTGAGTGGGTGAGTGAGTGGGTGAGTGAGTGAGTGGGTAAGTGAGTGGGTGAGTGAGTGAGTGGGTGAGTGAGTGGGTGAGTGAGTGAGTGGGTGAGTGAGTGAGTGAGTGGGTGAGTGAGTGGGTGAGTGAGTGAGTGGGTGAGTGAGTGGGTATGTGTATGAGTTGTGATCGATAGTGTGGTGGTGGTGGTGGCGCTGCGGTTACGACGCTACGGACCCTGTGAGCCGAGGTTCCATCCCCGCTCACGGCCAACACCAGTTACCATCATCTGAACCGCTCCTGAGACTCCCGTAGGTCGACTCAGCCTCAAATGAGTACCTGGTGCGGTGCATAAACATCGCCACTGGGGAGACAAAGGCGGTCGGGCGTGGTGCTGGCCGCCCACCCCCTCGTGTGCTGTGCCGGCCTTCATAGGTGCTCGCTGACAGCACTTGCTCC